CCAAAGTTTTTGTGACTGACCGACAGAACTACAGATTGGTCAACAGACGATGATATTTAATGTCCCCTCGCTTTCGCGAAAGCGGGGGACAATAAGTGGGTTTAAAAATTCTATTCCAATGTTTATTAAGTATTGCAGTGAATGCGAGTACATGTATATAGAACTTCTTTACACCAGATTTTAACATGATGTTTATAAATCCAATGTAATTTTAAAAACTGGGGCTGTCTGGGGGCCTTAAGACCCCCCCCCTTCTTATCAAAAATCTGTATCAACCCATGTCGATTAAAATTATTCCAAAGCACATGATTGGGGTACTTGTGGAAGAACCTGTTTAATTAATTAAATGGTGTCTCTTTCTTGTGCCCTGTTCACACGGAGAGTTTAATTCGAATTAAACGTAAGTTTACTGCGAATTAGCTTCGCTTAGCGTTCACACGGAGAATTTAATGCGAATTAGTTTAATTCGAATTAATTTACTGCGCATTAAATTAATTCGCATTAGCTCCGTGTGAACGCTAAGCGAAGCTAATTCGAATTAAATTTTGGGGCATGCGTAATGGCAACATTAAGTAAAATGCGTCATGTCGGTGGTCAGCCTTAAGTACTTGTGCTATATTTGAGTGAAAATCTAAGAAAAAATGTGTTAATCACTAAAATATGTGTACAGACACTGTGACATTATTACAAATGCATCTGCTTCTGCATAAGGTGACGTGATTTGCAAATGACGTCATAATAGCCCTACTGACGCCTGACTGTCGAAGTAATATTTTAATTCGCGGGTAATTTCGACCACGGTTCAATTTCGACCACACAAGCACAACACTGCACAATGATTTACGGCATTGTTGAGACAATTCGGTTTTAAAGTAAACTATTCCTAAAATTGGATTTCCTAGTATAATTTCTCATCGCAAAAATGGTTTGGTCAGAGGTATAACTATTTTTTTCACTATTTTTTATCCCTCCAGTTTGACACTCGGAAGTCCGTCTTCAGTGCGCTTGATGTGATCAACTAAAAACAAGAGAGATAACTCGTATGACCTCTTTTTGAGTTAGACCATGCTCAACATTGTAACAGTTCGAATTAAATTGAAATTGTTTTATTATTTTCTTGGAGTGTTATAAGTAGCTGAATTTCACATTTATATCTTGGATTTTTCTCAAAAAGCACAAGAAACGTCCGTTTGAATTTGGTCGAAATTACCCCTACTGTTTTTAAGGACGCGGCGTAATTTCGACCAGTGACGTAATAAGGGGAAATGTGTGTAAGTTATGTTTAACAGCTGTATAATATTCAATGCTGATTTAAATCTCTAAAATAAAATTAAATATTATACTGTATAATACATAAAATTCTTTAAATTTTGAAAGAAATTAATGTACGATTAAAAAATATATGCATGCATTGCGATCTACAATGTATCCCTATATTGTCTGAGCACATGGAGCAGTGCGGTGAGGGTGCATTCTCTGATCGATGTACATGTAGAGAACTTTACACTTGGCGATAGCAATCAAAACGATTTTAAAACCCAAATTAATAAATGAAAATATGCAGAGAGAATTAAATTTGATTACAGAATGAAGTTTTGGTATTTTTTTTTATTATTGCGAAATTATTTCTTCTACAGACAAGATTATGAGGATATCGAAAACCAAGAACCAGTAGTTTTAAGAACGCACATGTATCACGCAGTCCATGTACACAAATCCAAGTACATTAATATATGTATCAAGCAAGCTGTTTGAATAACACACTTAAAGAACTGCAACAATATTGAAAGAAAAAACATATGATTTTAAAAATAATTAATAATTAATTTGTTTGAGTTTTTTTTTCATCGCGGGGGAGGGGGGGGGGGTCAGAGGAATTTGCTTTTGCACACTTCTTTCATATGATTTGATAGAATTTCTCAGGATTTTAAACAATTAACAAAACATATTTTTATTCATTTTCAAAACAATTCGTAATACGACGCATTTTAAATAAATTCGTATATGCTTAAAAGCGTTCAAACTTAAAATACACTTTGATTCTGTTGAGTCTCGAAAAAGACGATTGAAACGAATTACAGTACGGACTGGACAGTTTAAAAATCTTAAGAAGGAAATTATCTATGGAATAAAAGAGATTTTGTTTCCATAACTACCACATTACAAAATAGCATCGTTTGGAAATTAGATTTGGCGAATTAAGATGCAGAATAATGAAAAAGAATGAAGATGTCAAAGTCTGCAATGAAAAACTTATCAGTGGTAACCCAACTCATTTCTTTATTAAATTAACAAACATACATATAAGTATAATACTGTTAATACATGTAATTAATTTATTTTTAATCTTTTTTTGACAGACACTTATATTTCCTATAGCAGACAGTTTATTTTCTTAGAACATAAATTTTGAATAAAATGCGATAGCATAGGTCGAGTTTAATTTCATTGTAAGAGTTATCTTTCCTGTTGAGGTTTGTTGTGGTCGAAATTACCCCGAGGCTGGTCGAAATTAACCCAGGCGTCATGGTTACTAATTTTTGAACCAATTTATTATTTTTTAACATATTTTTAGTTCGTAAAGCATAAAATTTAAAGAAAAAATCAATCTTCTTTACTTCGAGTCTATTTTGAACTTGTACATTTGAAAAGGGTCAAGTTTTGTGGATTGAAAGCCATATGTCAGCATAAAGTGGTCGAAATTACCCCAGTTTACCGTAGTTTACTTCGCATTAGCTGTCATGTGAACGCAATTTAATTCGCATTAGTTTGATTCGCATTAGATTACTTCGCATTAATTTACTGCGAATTAAACTTGTCGTGTGAACAGGGCATTGGTCATATACATGTAATAATTTTCTCTATATATATCTACGACCTTGACTACGCCACCGTAGGAGAATTAGCTACGTATTGGTTTCCATATATACGAAAATGACCATGGCATGGCAAATATGAACTCGACAGTCGACTGATCACTGGACATAAATAATGCGTATAACACTAATGATTTGACGTAGATAAACCACCAAACTGCATGCGTTGGTTTATCTCTGTTCCAAAGGTATGTTTTGTTTGTAACAAAATACTACAACAGAAATAATTAGTATAAAAGTTCACTAAATTTAAACGTCTCATATTTGGAGATTTTCGATGAACATTAATCTCAGCGAGATCCGTAGAAACTAAAAAAAATTGATTTGATGTCTAATTTTTAGTCTTTACAGATCCCGCTGAGATTACTAGTACTTGTACATATATATTTTTATATTTAAATTATGCACATAACAAGATTAGAAAGCTGTGAAAAAGACATACAGGCGTCCGTGTCAAACCAAAATCCGCTGGACATTTGTCCTAAATAATATCTATGGAAGAACGTATGGGATTCATCTGTAGGTTTAAATCCCATTTTGTTTAGCCCTCTCCTTTTCCCTTAACAGTGTAGCATGGAGATTTTATTGCCTCTGCTGGGGATTGAACCAGGAACATCTGGTTTGCCAGTCCAGTGCTCTAAAAATTGAGCTGTCAACCCACGAGCCAAAGCTAGTAGGATGCCTTGTATCTTACACTACAACATTGCCCCCCTCTCAGAGAATGAGATGTCCTCATCTCTTTTTGGAGTGCCGACACCTATGGGACGAAGTTATAGGGGCAATTACTCTAACCCATCAGAGAACAGCCGGGTCCCAACGTGGGCGCCATATGTAACAGAGACATTTTATTGCCTCTGCAGGGGATTGAACCCAGGGCCTCTAGCTTGCCAGTCCAGTTCTCTACCAATTGAGCTAAAAGGTTAATCCACTAGCCCTAGCTAGTAGGGTGCCGCTTATCTTACACTAATACATCATGGTAATAAAAATTGGAGAGGGCTACAATATTGCAAGTATTGTGTTGGAGGTGAACCATAATCCTTGCATTCTCGAAATATGACACTTTTTTCCCAACATTACCTTTACTATTGAAAATGTCCATTGAAAGGTTGGTTGCCCCCCCCCCCCCCCACTTCTTACCACAGTATAGTGATATCAAGGAAAATGTAGTATTGTGTTAAAAAAAAATTGGAAGTGAAAGGAAGTTGGCCCTTACCCCCCCCCCCCCCCCCCCCCCCCCCTCCCACCACCACCAAATAGGATTATCGAGTTTAGGCAATTTCCCTACTAAAATTAAAAACCGAAATAAAATTCGTTAAAACTGTCCTTAAATTAGGGTTTATAAGGGTACTATACTGAAGATAACTATTTGACAATCCATTAATTTTTTACATAAAAATTAATTCAATTTGCAGATACGTTGTGTAATATTTAGTGAAATGTACCAAAAGCACGCACTCATTCAGTGTCAGTCACCATCTAGATAAAATAGGTACTTACTTTATTTGTTGATGCGAGTTAAAAACTGGTAAGACTGAAAAAAATTAGCAGCTTACATCATTCCTATCTATTTATTAGAGTCAAAACATTTGACAATAGACAATGAAAATGCGGGTAAAATTCGGTACCGGTGTCTGAGAAAACATGGAATTGAGAATCCATTTCAAATTTCATTTTCAATCCACCTAAGCTATTTTCGGTGACATATAAGGGTACATAACATTAATTTCTTTAACTGTGTCCAAACCTTGATCGTAGATGTCCTTGACACACAATGTCATGTTCATACGATAGATATAATCACCATTGAAAACCGACAAAAGTTTACTAAATAATTTTTTCACCTTTTCTTTTTTTTTTCTTTGTAATTAAACAAGATAACACTTTCATGTTTTTCTCCCAAGTAATAAAGACAAAAATACTGAGATCAATAGTATCTAGTATAATCTAACATATTCATGGTCATGGATTGTTGACTTAAAACTAGCCAGTAGCTAGGTTGACGACACCTACCAGGTTATACAGTTTGACCTATGTAATCAGGTAAAATCAGATTCTTGTCCGAAACTGTCCATAAACAGGTGTTTAAATAGTCCTATTGAGAATTATTTCTCTCTCTCTTTTTTCACAGGTTTTACTTTAAAAGTTTAAATATAGCCCCATTTTGAGCGGTATTACTGTAAGAAGATGGTGATTCCTGTGATTGATTTTGCGGCTTACTCCTTGTCAGTCCCTGCAGGTCAGGAGGACGTTCAGAAACTCCGAGGTATCGCTGACGAACTCCGTAAAGCGTTTACAACTGTTGGATTTGTTTATCTGAAAAATCATGGATTGCCAGAAAATGTTGTAAGTAAATTGATCAGAATTTAGAGCTTAAGGTAAGTCACTCCTCAAATTTGTTATATCAAGGATTTTTTTGGAAGTATATTTTGGATAAGTACTCATATAGTATTACTCAAAATCGCAGAGAAAATAGGGAGTCAGTGCGCATCTTTCTGATCTATGGTACAATTAAATTGACCTTTTTGCACTTAAATTTTAACTCTTTGATTTATTACTTTATCTCTAATTTTATTTTATCAGATGTTACTACGTTAATAAATTTAATCTTATTTTACATAAAATAGTTTGAATAATATTTATCATTGAACATATCTTGCAAATTAATGCGCGTTTATTATTGTGTGACCTTTTTGCACTAAAAAATAACATATTTGTGGGTATTGAAAAACCTAAATAGGCAATAAAATATTTTCTTATATCAAGCTTTTTAGGAGTTAAGTGCTGATCAGTCACAAGTATCGAGTAGTTTAAAATAATGAAAGAAAAAGTTGAGGTCAGTGATGTTAATTTTGAAATATTGGTCAAAATATGTGATTTTCAGGCAAAAAATGGTGTAAAATTTATCTTGACTTCTTTAATATATCTTTATTTCTTGGCAAAGTTTGTTGAGGGAAGGTGTAAAACGTGTTCTAAAAATATAAATTAAGACCTATATTAAATATTCCTGCAAAATCACAACGGAAAATATTCTCCGAGTAAAAGTATGTGAGGCTAAAGTTTCAAGACACTGAATTTAATAAATGTGCAGATTTGCAGAAATTTCTGCTGAATATCCTTCCACAACAAGAAATAGTCCCTCATAAATCTTGCTTCTTTGTCGATTTTTAAGCAGTTTTTTCGATGAATGTTAAAAAATTTACATTGTTGAATATAAATATTTTATAAAAATTGAATTTTAATAAATATTTTTTAAGTAAGAGGTTCTGCATGAACTTTTCTAAAAAGCTGACGAGTGACTTACCTTAAAACCTACATACATACAAAGACTTTATTGAGAGCTGACTAAAATATTATCAAAAGTTAAAATAAAAAACGCATTAAATTTTAATTTCTCTTCAACGAGATGAAACATTTAAATTAAGGCACAAGTGTCTGTCTGTCACTTAATCGTTGTTCGAACCAATACGCTCGGACTGCTATTTACTCTGTATCATACAGACGTTTGCGTTTACCTATACATGTTGAAGTAAACTCAAAATTCCAGATGATACAGATTACATACTAACTGTCACTTGTAGTTGTAGGCCTACAGGTTTTGGGGTTATGATTATCCGCTGTAAGGTCATATTACTTGGAATTGAAATGGTTTCAAGTCAATAAATCTCGAATCCGCGCATGGTTGCGATGAATTCAAAGATATGATGTTAGATTAAGGAATTCGGGTGTGGTGCTTTCTTTGCAATTGAAGGTCGTTCTATAGATCAGCACCGCGGTTTCATTTTTGAAGGGGGGGGGGGGGGCACAGTTTAACCCAAGAAACCCAAATTATTCTTGTCAGTACATTTTTTGTCCCCCGCTTTCGCGAAAGCGAGGGGACATTAAATCTCATTCGTCTGTCCGTCTGTCTGTCCGTCTGTCCGTCAGTCTGTCCGTCACAAAAACTTTAACCTTGCCCATAACTTTTGATTTAGTGGAGCTATGATTTTCATATTTCATATGTGTATTCCTTGTGATAAGACCTTTCTTTGGGTACCACCAAATTTGACCTTTTGACCTTGACCTTGGAGTTTGACCAACTTTTACTAAAAAATTCCAAACTTTTACTTTGGCCATAACTTTTGAATGGTAGGTACTAGGACTTTCATATTTCAAATATTTATTTTTTGGGACAAGACCTTTCATTGGATACCAACAACATTGACCTATTGACCTATTGACCTTGGAAATTTACGTACTTATGAAAAAACTTTAACCTTGACCATAATTTTTGAACAGTAAGGGCTATGGCTTTTATACTTCAAATAAGTTATTCTTGTAAAAAGACCTTTCATTGGATACCAAGAACTTTGACCTTTTGACCTTGACCTTGGAGTTTTAACTACTTTTTAAGAATTATAACCTTGGTCACAACTTTTGAACAGTAGATACAAGGACTTTTATATTTCACATATATATTCTTTGTGGCAAGACCTTTCATTGGATACCAACAATTTTGACCTTTTAACCTTGACCTTGGAAATTTACGTACTTCTGAAAAACTTTAACCTTGACCATAACTTTTAAACGGTAAGGGCTAGGGCTTTCGTACTTCACGTATGTAATCCCTAAGAGAAGGCCTTTCATTGCATACCAAGAACTTTGACCCTTTGACCTTGACCTTGGAGTTTAAACTTCTTTCTAAAAACTTTAACCTTGGTCACAACTTTTGAACGGTAGAAACTAGGACTATCATATTTTAAATATTTATATTCTTTGTGGCAAGACCTTACATATGATACCAATAACTTTGACCTTTTGACCTTGACCCTAAAAAATAATATTTCGCCCACAAAGACACCGAAAGCGGGGGACCACAATTCTTTGAATTTGCTTGTTTTACATCTTACAAAAGAAAAAGTCTTAGAAAAGTCTTAGAAATATCCATTTTAATGAGATTTTATTTGAACTTCAGTTTTGATCAGTGTGTTTCATTCAAATCAGCATTTTTAACTATGTTTCTATAACAGATTGAGAACACGTTTGCAATTTCGAAGACCTTCTTTGAGAAACCAGTGGAGATAAAACAGAAGTATGAAAGGCCAGCAGACGACAATCACGGATGGGTGGCCCTAGAGAGAGAAAAGTAACATAAAATTTAAATTGAGTGAAACAGAACCAGAATACTAAGTTAATTCCTTTCCCCAGGGTATAATTGACGTTTGATGATTTTTAGTTTGAATCCAGAGAGACCGGTGGCTGATTTGAAAGAGGCGTACAATATGACGTTGATGGATGACCAAGGAGTAAGTATACTATACACATTTACGGGTACAACGTAATCGCAACTTCTTGGGCCTTTCCGACTAATGAAAAAGCAAGTTGTTTTCCGGCCTCTGAAGGAAAAACCCAAGATGATGCGATTGAGATACAAAAATATTCAGGTCCATGAATGAGCATATACGCAGATACATCAGACGCGGATGTTTTAAAACAAACAAACAAATCAGATTTTTTAAAGAGACGTTGAGCGTAATTTCTTAATATTTCTGAAGTAAATTGGCAATTGCTTATAATTCATAACAATTTTAGTTTTAATTTTCTTTTTATTTATGCACTGTCTGTGAAGATATTCAATTATATAGTGATACATATGAATTCAACAAAAAAAAAGAACACTTATCTTAGTTAATTTTTATTACATACACGAAATGTTCATCAATGCTATTAAGGAAATCGGTATTCAAAACATCAAGCGAAATTGCCTGTCATCCTCTGCCAAAAATTATATTTAAACCAAATTTAATCTGACTATGCACATTAAATTTTACAAATATTTTCAGACCATGCCTTTGGATATACTCCCAGACTTCTACAAAGTGTTCAAAGAAATGTTTTCATTATCACAAGAACTGGGGAGTCGAGTCCTGGATTTAATGTCCATTGGTCTGGACATAGTATGTAAATTACTTTTTAGAACTCTGTTGGGAATGAATGTAGAAAAATGTAGTAAAATTGTCTAGTTAATTTAATACTTTATATGTTTAATATCAATAGGACCAAACTTACTTAAGGCAGTGCCATCAGAGGATGGGAAACAGTGGAAACGCCACAACTTTACGATCCTTGTACTATCCGCCAATTACTAAAGGTAAATACAATGTATAGTCGTCAAATGCCAAAATTGTTATTGACGTATCATATTGTGAATTTACATAATTTTCAAAAAAAATATTTCTTTTGATTATTTTTATCAGTTTAAATAATTTTAACAGGGTATCGATTTTTAAACCTAGTATGCAAATAAAATTCCCATTGCTGTTACTTTTATTTTAATTCTCCTCCTTGACATTACCCTTCCAGGTGTTAAACCGGGACAGGTGCGTTGTGGGGAACATTCAGACTACGGGTCCATCACACTGCTTTTCCAGGATGATATCGGAGGCTTAGAGGTGAGGACTTTTTTCTTCACACATACATGTATGTATATCACAGTATATAAAATATGAGTTGCATGTTTGACATCGGAAAATTTTGTTGCAAATTTGTGATTATCTATTTCAATGACAGAAAAGAAGACCATCTGTAAACCTCTGTTGTTCATATTTATGATGGAAGAACTTTTTATAAGCTTTAATTGAAGCAAAATTACATCATTGTCGTCCTGTACAATAATGATTACTTATTTAATACAATATATTCGATCGTACAGAAACATATATTTAAACTTTATTTTAGTCTAATTGATCATAAGAGTTTAAATAATATACAAATTAATCATAATATCACATTTTACCAGCAAAATAGAATTATCAAAAATGCAGCCCATATTACTTTAAAATGGCTTTACGTAGAAATGGAAGGAAAATAGCCAATTTTCCGGAAGTTAAAAACGTTTTAACTGCATCAATGCATTTTTTAAAAAAAATACTGTAGACGTACTTTTTTCCGCGGGGTCATAATTCCGCGGAATCTCAATTTCTGTTTAATCCGCGGGTAGAAAATTACGCGGATTTTCTTGACTGTCACTATATGCCTTACATTTATATTAAGTACGCTTGGACAAATTTCCGCGGATTATCTATGACCGCGTACATAGCGTAAATTAATACCACGCGGAAAAAGTACTTCTACAGTAAATTCAGTGTCTGTAGTTTTCCATAATATAGGCATATGGGAATCAGATAAGCATGAAATATAATTCTGTTTTTAGTATAAATCTACTTAAAAGTATTAATGGTTATATTGAATTTAAACGTGAAATGGATGACATTGCGGTGGTTTTAATTTTGCAATGTTTGCGATCAAAGAATTTCTTTGACCAATCAGCCATCGTGAATATTTTCGAAAAAGATTATGCATTTATATACATGTACAATGCATCTTTACACTTTATTTTCCCTTTTTCTATTTGGTGATATGTTTTCATATGTAGCATGCAACAAGAGCAATGCGTTTATTTCAGGTAAAACCAACGGGGTTTGATTACGTCCCAGCTTCCCCAATACATGGTACAGTGTTAGTCAATCTAGGGGACCTGATGCAGCGATGGACGGCAGACAAACTTATTGCAACTGTATGTTAACTTACTATTAAACAGAAAACACAGGATGAATCTTTGCCATTTAGTCAACTTATAATTACATTTGACTGAAACTAAAAGTTTACTGATATGTGACTGAATGGATCTGCCATTCAGTGACAAAGCCATTCAATGACCATTCAGATTTTTAATTAAGTGACTATTCAGTTAATTTATTGGTGAATTTTCATCCTGTGCAAACCAACGTTAAATATTAAATGATAAGTTGTGGATTTATGGAGAAATGTAGCCTTATAAAACATTATCATTAAACGTTAATGCCTTTTACAGAAACACCGAGTCCTCATTCCTGAGAAGGAAGTCACGCAAAAGAAGGGGAGGCAATCCTTGGCATTTTTTGTTCAACCTGACGATGATGTCATGATAAAGTGTTTGGACGGTTCCGGGAAATACGAGGAAATATCCAGCATTGATTATCTGAACATGAGGTTTGCTGCGACCTATTTACAACAAAAGACTTAAAGAGGAACCGATTAACGTTTCCTGATTCTTGTGCAATACTCTAGTATATGTTCAGATGATACATGTAAAAAGTTATGCATGTGTGTAGAACAAAAAGGACTATATGTCACATATTTTACATAACATTATAGGTGAAAAAGTTTTATAAACAGTATAGCTATATTAAAATCTAAAAAGTGGAAAAATACGATGTAGCGTTTTATTGTAATTTTTTTATAACTTTTTATTCACCGTTACTACAAATACCGATCGAGTGTAGTTTTACATTTTTTTTTCTAGATTAAAATTATTCCACTCAAATGAAACGTTACTGTATCCTAAAAGAATGTTTCACATAAATATCTTCACTTGGCAACCAATAATACGATTTATCTAAAATGGACTTATAAATATTTCTTATATAAAAAATATCCCATACCAAAAATACACTTGTGTGCTAATAGGTATGAAGTTATTATTTATTTTTTATATAAGATACAATTGTAGTGTCAAGATCCTTTACTGATTTAAAAAAATAAACAATCTGTCGAACAACAGTTCAGATTTGGCTTTTAATTCTCGATTGGAATTATTGTTACCAGTTTCTGTTATCTCCTCCTTTCTTTCGCTGCAATTCTTGCTCTTCCTTCTGTATCTTTCCGCTCTCTTTCGCTGCAATTCTTACTCTTCCTTCTGTATCTCCTCTGCTCTCTTGTGCTGAAATTCTTGCTCTACCCTCTGTATCTCTTTCGCTCTCTTGCGCTGCGATTCTTGCTCTTCCTTCTGTATTTCCTCCGACCTCCGCTCTCTTTCGCTGCCTCCGCTCTCTTGCACTGCTATTCTTACTCTTCCTTCTGTATCTCCTCCGCTCTCTTGAACTGCAATTCTTGCTTTTTCTTCTGTATCTCCTCCGCTCTCTTGAACTGCAGTTCTTGGTACTTCTTGCTCTTCCTTCTGTATCTCCTCCGCTCTCTTTCACTGCAGTTCTTGTCCTTCCTTCTGCATCTCCTTCGCTCTCTTGCGCTGCAATTCTTGCTTTTCCTTCTGTATCTTCTCTGCTCTTCTCTTTTTGTCATTTGCCATTTTCGCCACCATTTCTTTCTCTTGTTTTCTTTCCTGTTTCAGAATTTACCATCTGTTCTTCTGTAGCTTCCTCTTTTATCTTTTTTTTCCTCTGTCTTCTCCTTTCCTTGGTGTTCCTATCTTTCTTTAATATCTTCTGTACTTAAATTCTACTTTAACCTTTCAACCTGCCTTTTCAATATTTTTTCCTTCATGTTTTCCTTCATTCTTATCTTCGTCCTTTTTGTTCTCGGATTATTTTCTTTAAGATATGCCCTTTGGTTTGATTTTCTCTCTTTTGAAGTCAGAAAGCCCATATGTTCTTCCTTAAAATTAACTCATTTAAAATAAAGATAACTAATTGTCATATCGATATGTTATAATTATAGAGGTATAACGCTTTTGTTTGTGCCAAGCAAAGTGTTCTTCAGAATAGTGATATAAAGAATTCAAGATGGAGAGGAAAAACAGCTGCACGAGGAACAAGCTAGTTTCGGAATAGGATGGAGTACAACACAACAACTTTTTACCCTCCGTAACAGCATATAGCAATGTATCGAATGGAATTCAACATTGTTTATAAATGATTTTAACTTTGAAAAGGTATTTGATTCCATTCACAGAGAGAGCCTTTGGTCTATCATGAAGTTTTTTGGCATCCCAGACAAACTGGTCCGAATGGTGAAACTCCTATATAAATCATTCCAATGTGCAGTCCTAGAAGATGAGGAAGAAACGGACTGGTTCCGGGTAACAACAGGGGTGAATCAGGAATGCACAATGTCTGGATTCCTATTTCTGTTGGTCATAGTTTACGTAATGAAAAGAATTACAGAAGGAAAAAACCAGGAATAAGGTGAAATTTCACAACAAATCTCGAAGATCTAGACTGCGCAGATGATCTTGCTTTACTTTCCTCCAAATTTTAAGACATCCAGCAAAAGACACAAAGACTTAATGAAATTGCTATTGAAATTGCAATTGCTAGACAAGCTGGCCTCGGAATAAACATCAAGAAAACCAAAGTGATGAAGCTCAACACTGACATAAAAGAGGCAGTCAAGATTGATGGACAAGACCTGGAGGATGTAGAAGCATTTACATACCTTGGAGTTGTGATAACAACAAAGGGAGGATCTGATGAGGATATTACCAACAGAATGGGAAAAGCTAAGTCCCAATTTGGAAAGCTCAGAAAAATCTGGAAACAAAAGTAAAGTTATTTAACAGCTTGGTTCTGTAGGTTCTAATGAATGGAAGTGAAACACGGCAAACAACGGAGAGAGACAAAAGGAAAATTGACACCTTCCAGAATAAGATGCCTTAGAAAGATTCTGCGAGTAAGATGGCCTGAGAAAATGTCAAATGAAGAACTCTATCGGAGAGAGACAAAAGAAAAATTGACATCTTCCAGAATAGATGCCTTAGAAAGATCATGAGAGTAAAATGGCCTGAGAAAATGTCAAATGAAGAACCCTATCATAGAACAAAGACAGCTAGAGCAAGTAAAATAATAACTATGAAGAAGTGGAATTGGATTGGCCTTGTACTGAGGATAGATAACACCAGGATATATACCACGGCATTAAAGGTGCATGGAAACAGATTTGACGTTAATACTTTCTGTATATTATCACGACTTATCTATTCTAATAGCATTTCACACAAAAATTTATTAAAAATCTTATTTCATCTAAAAGTTATTAAAACTTCAAATTTTTAGACGGTTTGATTGACACATCCTTGCACTTTCACAAATTTTAATTTTATTCTTAGTACTTAAGAAACGTGGCAATCTTGTCGTGTATTAATGGAAATATTAATGTATATGAGAGAGCAAGGATGTGTCAATCAAATCCATCCAAAAATTTGAAGTTTCAACAACTTTTAGATGAAACAAAATTTTAAAAATATTTTTGTGTGAAATGCTATTAAAATATTTAAGTCGTGATATTATACAGAAAATGTTAACTTCAAATCTGTGTCCATGCACCTTTAGCATGGCACCCAGAAGGAAAGAAAAAAGTAAGCAGGCCAAAAACAACGTGGTGAAGGACCACGGAGCAAGAAAGTTACAACTGGGATGGAATGGCTGGGCGTCAGCGAGGGCAGCAGCCAAGGAGAGAGGCAGTAGGAGGCAATGTATTAGGGCAGAGTACATGTGAGGATTGTCATGGTGCAAGTGTCATGCAGTGTGAAGCTTTTGTATAATGTTTGTACATGTATTAGTAATTTTATAATTATAAAGTTTACTGTCACCAAATTTTAGGTGTGTTACTGCACATGCATTCACAATGATACCAAATGTAGTTAGGAAAAAAATATCATGCACCCACCACAGTATTTTAGTGTGTGCACAATGACACTATATAAGAAAGAGTCCGTGAAAGTCTCATTCAATTTCATTTAGTGGTAAAAGGGGAGTTGTGGATAAGAGATGGGTACCTCAAAGCGTAACGGACGGACATCCTGATTACTATATAACCTCCCGATTTTCAAGCGAGGTTATAAAAGGTCAAATGCGCGATAAGGCAGATTTTTTTTCGAGGGGGGGGGGTAATATCATTTGTCATAGATGTCAGATAGAAAATTTTCTGATAAGCCAATTGCGAAAAAAATGAACTATTCCAAACCTAATAAAAACCCTTTTCAATGAGTAAGATACATGACTTCTTACATTTTTAAGATTTCATTTAATTGTGGTACATGTACTAAATAACTCGTATATAAAGTGATAAGTCCAGATCGCGAAGGGATTACAAAGTAGCCGGACAATAAATAAAAAGTTCAATGTTAATATCGTGGTAAAAATAAATGAAAGACTTTTTGAATATACTCTAAATATTTTTTTTTATGTGGCCTTTAAGTTTGATCTACTTTGGACAGAAATTAGTTTACACGACTTAATATACATGTGGCATTATTCTCCAGAAATAATAAGAGGTACTTTGAGCATGAGCTCGATCACTAAATGATACCCCCGCCTCCCATATTAATATATTGGCAAAGTCCATGTTTTGCTCTAGAAAACACAAATTGGAGGTGAAAATGACATTATGTAATAAAGAATCTGTGAAAGTTTCATTATTTTTATTTAGCGGCATTGGATAAGAGATGGATACCCTTCAATATTATAGAAAGAATGGCAGTGTCAATGTTTTGGTTTGAAAAACCAAAATGTGTCCGATCAAAAAGTAAAATAGAAGGTGCACAAAGGAAGTATGTAATAAAAAATCTGTGAAATATCATTCAATTTTATTCAGTGGTAAAAGAGGAGTTGTAGATAAGAGATGGGCACCCTTTATTATTTAAAAAAAACAACAGATTCCAAAAAGTAAAACTAGAGGTACAGTTCACTAAATGCTCCCATGATTATAATGAAAAGGCCCTTTTTTGCTCTTTGAAAAATATGTGATCAAAAAGATCACAATAGCATCATGTAAAACTTAAATTTTGATTGGTACGGATAAGAGATGGGTACCTTCAATACTATAGAAAAAATGACGTCAATGTTTCGCTCTGGAAAACCCAAAATATGTGTCCCTTCAAAAAGTAAAATAGGAGGTGCACAATGGCATTATACGGACGTACAGATAAGAGGAGTTGCGGAAGGACGGACATACAGACGGAAGGACGGACATACCGATTACTATATACCCTCCCGCTTTTCAAGCTGAGGGCATAATAAGAGATGCACAATGGCACTATGTAACAAAAATTCTGTGAAAGTCATTCAGTGGTTTAAGGGGAGTTGCAGATAAGAGTACCCCAAAGCGTAAAACTTGCACGGACGGACTTCCTGATCACTATATGCCCTCCCGCTTTTCAAGCGGGGGGATAATAATTATACCCCCGCTCCGAAGGAGAGGGGGGTATACTGTTTTACCCTTGTGTGTCTGTCTGTCTGTACGCGTGTCGCAGTTTTCTCAGCAACTACCCGGTACTCATCGCAGATGCTTGAAATGTTAACACAATCTTCTCTGAGGCATGCCATACGGTGGGATACATTTCTGTTGAAATTGGATGTCAACTTCCTGTTTGTCTGTGCGTCTGTCCGTTTCATACATAACACATTTTCACCGCAGTTTTCTCAGCAACGCAGTTTTCTCAGCAACTACTGCCCCGTGGGGATCCGGGTTAGAATAGGTCCTCAGTACCCCCTTGCTTGTCGTAAAAGGCGACTAAATGGGGCGGTCCTTCGGATGAGACCGTATATACCGAGGCCCCGTGTCACAGCAGGTGTGGCACGATAAAGATCCCTCCCTTCTCAAAGGCCGTAAGTCGGCCCGAGCATAGGCCTAAATTTGCAGCCCTTCACCGGCAATGGTGACGTCTCCATATCAGTGAAATATCCTGGAGAGGGACGTTAAACAGTATACAATCAATCAATCAATCTCAGCAACTACTCATCGCACATGCTTGAAATTTTAACACAATTTTCTCTGAGGCATGCCATACGGTGGGATACATTTCTGTTCAAATCCGACGTCAACTTCCTGTTTGTCTGTGCGTCTGTCCGTTTCATACTTATCAAATTTTCGTCGCAGTTTTCTTAGCATTTATTTATCGCAGATGCTTTAAATTTTAGTACACCCTCTGTTGAGGCATGCCATATGGTGGGATTAATTTTGAGATGAATCTGATGTCAACTTCATATTTTTCTGTGCATTTGCCCGTAATTAAACTTCTGTATATTAACATGATAGAGTTTATTCACATCAGAGCGGGGGTATTACTAGTGAGCATTGGCTCACAAATTTCTTGTTAAGACTAAGGAAACTGTAAGTCTCAAGTTTCCTTTTATTTATACATGTACATTGTAGAAACTGGGAAGCCAAAGCTGAATTCTGAATTTAATGTACAGTAGTCTTAAAATACTGTTTATTAAATTTGAGAAATATGTTTATTATATTCATCGTTCGGAGAGAGAGAGAGAGAGAGAGAGAGAGGTGGTTATCTCTTATCCGCAGCTCCTCTTTTATCACTGAATGAAATTTTAATGAGACTTTCATATAATCTTTGTTATATAGTGTCATTGTGCACCTAGCTCCTACTAGTATTTTACTTTTTGATCGGACACAGATTTTGGGTTTCCAAGAGAAAAACATTGACACTGCCATTTTTTCTCTAATATTGACGGGTACCCATCTCTTATCCATAACTCCTTTTATACAGCTGAATAAAAGTTAATGATACTCTCACAGATTCTTTCTTACATAATGCCATTGTGCACCTTCTATTTTACTCTTTGATCCGACAGAAATTTCGGGTCTCCTACAGCAAAACAGCGACTTTGTCATAATAATTATATGGTTGACGGGGGTATCATTTAGTGAACTCGTTGCTCACAGTACCTCTAGTTTTGTTTGTTAGCTTGTTGTTGTTGGTTTTTGTTTTGTTTTGTTTTTGTTTTTTTTTGGGGGGGGGGGGGTGGTTGGTGTCTTTCATATTTTTTTCCTACTGTAAAATCACATATCTCCGTGGAGTCAGATTTTCGGGGTTCGAGAAAGAATATTGATTTTATGAGAATTTGACAATGATATCTCGGTTGGAAAAGTGTTAAGTAGTACTACATGTAAGCTCATATGAAATTTTGCATTTCCATGTGGTCATGAATATTTGGGTCTCTCCATGCCTCGAAAACAACGAAAATTGGAAGGCGCACTTCTTATTGTAACATATACCTTTATGACAAAGCGTGTGTTAATAGATGATTTGTAATTGAAAGTTATAAACAATTATAAAATTGTACAGAGAGATATACTAGGTATTCAAAAGTGAAGCCCCATTTTAAGTCGATTTTATATCGCTCCCCAAAAGATAATTCAATTTGTTTGAATAAATTGTTCTCTGTGACAATACATTTTTAATGCCCTGGTTATGCCTTTTTGAAATGTTCTTACGGTTTTTATGAAAAACTAAATCGATATAAGGGATAAGCACGCATAATCACAAATCAATAATTATGATATATTTCAGAGACATTTTTCGCATTCAAAAGAACCTAATATAGAATTTATGGATATTCAATAAATGGCTCTGATACCTGAGTGCTATTAGATAATCGTTCTTTTTTTTCTAGTTTTGAAATCCCATTTTGTTTTTTCGAAATGCAACGAAATGAAAGTAGACGCATTCTCAGAATTAAAATATCATATATAAATTGGTGATGATATTCATATAAATAGTAGTAGCCTTTAGTTACCCGTGTATTATATAAACTTCAATAGATTATAATACACAAGGAAAAATTTAATTTATGTTGTGACACAGTGACATTATCTCCATCGACTGTGCAAATCTATATCATAATTAAAGTAACTAAAATAAAGGAAACCTTTCTTTTTTAGAGATATGGTGCAAATGAAATACAAATAGATGTTATCCTGTATCGATTTTTTATATAAGTATACTAACTACTACGATTACTTTAAAAGGACATTTTTGTGAGAGAGTTTTTGTAGTTTTGACCTGTAATATGGTTTATGTTATTTTGTTACCAGGATATTTTATCTAAAAAAAAAGTTTAAAGTTTATTTTCTTGTTTCTGATTAATCATATACATGTAAATGTACTTTGATAAAATGAAACGTATCCAGCGTAAATACCTTTCATGATTTCGAGCAATGAAAAAGTCGACTTTTCTATTCTTCCTCTCTTTCTGCAAGTAATTTGCGATTGATTGGCGAATGATAATTTTACATCATATTTCTAACGTCTCACCATTTAATCCTATTATGTTTTTTAAAAAAGGCAACCAATGTAATACAAGTAAAACTGAAGTCCAACTTCAGGAAATAAAACTCCATCTACATGCAATAATATTTCTTTCTTGAAATGATGAAAAGTCCTTACAATAATATAACAACATAATTAAAGGATTCATATTCTAACTAATTTTGTTTATTATTATATTGCTATTTCTGACATTTTTAATGAAATTTGCCATTTACGACATAACCCTAAAAGTGTTCATGCGTATCTTGTCATTTTAAGAGCTCAACTTTGTTGTTGTAGCTACACAACTCAAGAATACTTTCCAATCAAGAATGAATTATCATCCACAGTTTTCCAGAGAGGAACGTGAAAATACGAAACAAACGATCAAGTAGACGTTCAAGTTTAAAAGAATTATCCAGATCACATCATAGAAGCACACCATATGAATATGACCGACTGAAAGAAAACAAACACAAACATTCAGATCACAATGAGTACCCAACCTCAAAAGATAGCCATTCTGATAGAAATTCTTGTTGGCGTGAAACCACATCGCAAAGATATCTAATGTCAGAAGAAAACCAGAAAGGTTTAAATAGGTCTGCGGTAAATATGGATGAAAACTCTTATAGAAGCTACAGTCATGACCAAATGTCAGGAGATTACCGTGAAGATAGAATGAGGTCTACAAGACGTGGGTGTGAGGACACGCCCAACGGTTACCATGGAAACCAGACGTCAAGGGAGGACAACAAAGAAATGAACAGATTTACTAGTCGGAGCTATGAAGGCATGCAAAACAGTTATCGTCGGGACCAACCTTCCAGAAAAGACATCCAATATAGGAATAGATCTACTAGACCAAGATATGAAGACAAGCAAATCAGTTGTCGGCGAGAACCATTAAGAAGAGACCATCTAGAAAGAAAACTAAGGTCTAATAGAAAGAGAAAGGAAGACATTCCAAACAGTTACCATAGCAATAAAGCATCAAGAAAAGACAACCAAGACAGGGATAGGTCAGCAACACGCAGGAATGATTCCAGAAGAGGAAAGGATTACTTAGAAAAGTTTGAGGGACATGGCATGCCAAGAACAGAGGAGTGGATTGTTACCCCTGATAAGAATAGTAGAGAGGAAAACGATGACCTTGCAGTTAAAATTTATAAAGTTTTACTAGACGAAGGTGGTAAATTGAAGAAAAAACGTTTTGAGGCCTGTCTGCGCGCAGAACCATTAACGATGAGATTTATGCCAAAGGGCTCTTTCATTAAATTTTTAGAAGATTATAGTAATATTTTTGACATCTCTGATGGGTCAAAGGATGAACAAGAAGAAGGCGAGATAACAGATCAAGAAATAAAAGCAAGATCAGAAATTCAGATATGCCTTAAGCACTCTAGTGCATCCCAGATTTGTAGCGGTAATTGTAATAATTTGCATATCTGTAAATTTAAATTTATCAGCGATTGTCCATTTGAGAATTGTTGGTATGGACATGATCTTAAAACAGATCACAACCGTCATTCTCTGATGCATCACTTTATGCAATTCCTTGAACCTGATCAGGTCAGGATGCTGATTAGCGATTTGGAGCACAGAAAGGGTGTGACAATACCTTCTATTTGCACTTATTACAATAAAATCAATGGTTGTAAGGAACCTGTAAAATGTCCACATCTACATGTCTGCGCTTATATCGCTGATAAATGTAGATTCCAACCCAACTGTAAACGTTCTCACAATCTAGAAGACGAACAACCAAAGAAGGTTCTGAGTAAATTTGGGATAGAAATCGACGCACATAACAAAGATAGTTTGTTGAAAATGCTTAAAGTGGGTTCTCTGCATTCTCCAGGGGGTCAAGGTGTTAGAAAAATAACCCATCTTAATACTCGCAGTGGATCAATTGTTCCAGATGAGACTGCCCAAGAAGAAGCAAAAGACAATCAGGAAGGAAATGTTTTAGAACCTCGCTCTGAGATCAGCAAACCTCTTCGTTATTGGAATATGGATTGTGAATGATGACTACCGCTTTTAAAGGGAAATTTTACGTTATTATGAATAAAAAAATCAAAGAATATCTTGTAATTGAAATGGGAGAAGATGCGAAAAAATATTCTTTAAATACATTTTATATATCATGGCTAATAAAAATATAACTAAGTCTAAACAGAGTACGTATCCGACTGTGCTTTAAAAGTGTATTGTAGTTTGATTTGAGATTAACGTAACACCCTTACAAAGTATGCGATTTTTGGAAAGGTACTTGTATATTGCACCGGTCACAGAGTTTCTGAAAAATTAAATAAAATCACTCATTTTATATGTCGTGTTTGCCGTGGATATTTACAAAATAAATGTTGTTTAATCCCTTACAATTATTTGTTTGTTTTTCTTCATTCTATAGGAATTTAAACTATTTTAGACTGCAAAGCTGCCTCAAACATAAAAATTAATTGATATTCGAATATTCAGTAGAAGTGTTCGAATACATTCGAACATTCGATAAAATAAATACATTTTACATTATGAAATATATGTATTTTCACTCTCTTGTCAACCAGTATACGTTATATGTCATTATTGTGTAATACAACTCCACGTAGAGTTTTGAAAATGCCAAGTTACTATTTTATTAAAATTTAACAGAATATATGGAGAGTATACATCCAAAATGTAACGAAAATTTGTTTTGGAAAATTCAAGATTCATTAGTATGTTCCAGAGAAATTGATCGTCATACCAAAGTCTACACTTATTACTCCTACAAATTTATACTACGCTTAACAATTACCTAGTGAAGAAAAATTAAAATCAATTAATTTTAGCTAATTAATTTCCTGATAATTTATTTTAATGATATATGTATAAACAAAGAACCATGTGTTTTCTGTAAAACTGTGTCGTTACAACAATACAAAGTGATTGTAAGTACTTGGCACTGTTATACCGCTAATTAAATGCTCAAAGAATAATTTATTCTAATAGTTACACTCTCCACAATTTTAAAGCAATCTAACAGGAGTGTCTTTTAATTTTTTTTTGAAAAATCAAATCTTATTCCTATTCAACGGTACAAACTTAATACATTTTCAAATAAAACTTGCCAGATTTTTCTCTCTATTAAATGTTTGTATTCTTAAAAACCGAATGTTCGAATCATATATTTATATTCGAATATCAACTCATCGAATGAATATTCGGATATTCGTTGACATCCCTAATAAGAAGGATATGGAGATATCGAACAGTATTCAATATCAAAGTCCATAAACAATACAAAATAGGAGCAGAGCAAACACGGACCTCCGAAACATCAGAGGTGGGATCAGGTGTCATGGAGGAGTAAGCATCCCCTGCTGACCGGTCACACCCGCCGTGTGCTCCTTGTCGTGATCGGGAAATAACGGAAAAATCCGTCGTCAATTCAGTGTATAAACTAGAGGTACTGTGAGCAATGAGCTCACTAAATGATACCCCCCGCCTCCCATAATGTCCATGTGTTGCTATTTATTGTTTTACGGTAATGTGTAAAGAGGAATAACTCGTCCCATCAAATGTTATCCAGAAGCTTCTATAATGTGACATCATAGGTAAACATATAATGGCAATGTCCATGTTTTGCTGTGGGAAACCTAAAATACGTGTCGAATAAAAAAGTAAAATAGGAGGTGCACAATGGCAATATGTAATAAAGTTTCTGTGAAAGTTTCATTAGATTTCACTCAGTAGTATAAGAGGAGTTGCGGATAAGAGATAAAGCGTAACAGACGGATGGACGGACGGACGTACAGACGGACGGAAATCCCGATTACTATATACCCTCCCACTTTTCAAGCGGGGGGTATAATAATGGACTAACAATTAGTATGAAAAACGTCAGTCAGCATTTGTCTCAATGGTAAATTGGATTTGCTGACAAGGTCATTGTATCGAACATAAAATTTACGAAATGATGACTTTAAACGAGACTGTTGATATAAATTTAGATTTGTTTTTGATTTCTTACGTATTCGACGACTTCAAAATCAATCTCCAATGATATCAAAAGATGAAATTGCCAACAATGTAGAGTTTGCTAATAAATAAGAAATGTAGGGTATTTTTACAAATTTTAGTTCGTGTTACACTGTAAGTTACAAATCTATCAAATTTCTGTATTTATTTGAAACAAAACAGAATTCAAAAACTTGTAAGTGGAAACAGAAAAACACTTGTTATTGCATTTAATTCGAAATTTAGGTATATTGTTAAGATATCAATTAACGATTGCTACCATTTATTTGTAGATTCGATACATCCAACTAAAGTAAAAGATACATGTACCCCAGAGTCTGAAAGATCTGTTCATATTTGAATATTTTTAGGGCATTAGATAAATACTGATAACATAACTGGAAAAAAGACGATAGAAAACGACGATAATGGTAACCCAACAAACAAAACTTTAATATGATAAACTTGATATTTATTTAAATCGTCCATTTCCGTAACGATATATCTTGCAATATCTTTATCTATCCCCTGCATATGGGATTTAAATCTCTCAGATGATATAATACTTAAGAGAGCTAGCCGACTGATGTTTTATTCTCTAAAATTTACAATAGAGAAACTCTTTAATTCTATCACGTATGTAACTTACATTGACTTCAGTCTACATGCCAAGTTTGGGAAAAAATCGACCGTCCAGGTTTTTTAAGGGACAGTGTTCAAGCTCAAAATAAGACCAAAGCAAATACGGACCTCCAAAACGTCAGAGATGGGATAAGGTGCCATGGAAGAGTGGGTATATTCTGCCGAATAGTCACATCCGCTGTGTGCTCCTTGTCATGATTAAGAAATAACAATATAAATTCCTAAGTTTTAAATTTCATTTGAATAGCTGTACAGGGATTCATAACAGACGGTATTTAAAAATTCCTGTTCCAAAATTCAGGTGAAAATTGGGCAGTCCGAATTTTCTTGGTCCCAATGGAAATTTAGATAGCCTAGGGAGCATTGATTATTTACTGTTGTAAGAAACACAATAGGTGATATCACCTATTCGAATTGACGGTACCAAATTGAATGAGTGAAACTTTACCTAAATCAAATTAAATAGGTGAAACTCACCTATTCGAATGTCTGATATCACTTATTTGAATAGGTGATGTCACCTATTCAGCACAATTAGGTGATATCACCTATTTATTTCCAATAGGTACCGTGATATCATATTCTAAAATGTGATATCAATAATTCTATAAGGTGATATTACTTATTCGAATAGGCGGTGTCACCTATTCGAATAAGTAATATCACTTTTTGCCGGTAAATACCAAAATGGCGCCTCATGGTTTTCCCCTCAAGAAAAATACACTGTTGTTAATACACATGTATTGATAATATTGAAACGGAAGAATCCCCGGGACCTGTAAAAAAAATTGAATCTATTTAACATTATCTGTTTTTTGGTTTTTTTTGTTTTTTTGTACGTATATTAATCATTTTCCTTACGTCATATTCTTTGGTCGTCTAAGGACGACCGAGTGAGTGAGTGATATTTACAAAAATATGTCATTTTGCCGTACAGTTATCCTGACAGGGTCTATTGGCAAATAAGTACAAAAGATTGCATCAAATAAATTTCATTCAAACTCTCTAGCAATTGTTTTAACAGAACTGCGTAACTACTGCATGAGTAGAAAACATGATTTTAACTACAGTGCTGCATTAGATTACAGGCAGTTGGGGGTACTTGCATGGTAATCGTTACATTTATACCCCCCGCTTGAAAAGGAATATAGTAATCGATATGTCCGTCCGTCTAGTTGTCCGTCCGTCTGTTACGCTTTGGGGTACCCCTATCTTATGTGTAAACCCAAAATTGTGTCGGATCAAAAAGTGAAATAGGAGGTGCTCAATAGCAATATGTTATAAAGATTCTGTGAAAGTTTCATCAAATTTCATTCAGTGGTATGAGAGGAGTTGTGGATAAGAGATGGGTAACACAAAGCGTAACAGACGAACGGGCAGCTAGACGGACGTACAGACGGACGGACGGATGGACGGACATACCCATTACTATATACCATTCCGCTTTTCAAGCGGGGGATATAATGATGAACATATGTATCCTGTCGTTACATATGTGTTAAACGTAAGCGCTCACTGAAAGAAAAACCTAGTGAATTTAACTAGTTTGTTTTGTAAAGCGTTGGTCGTGATTTAGTAAACTTTCAGTTTACTGGTTAAGATAGTGAGTTGTGGAGCAGGGGTCGTATAGATACTTAGATACCTAGTGAAAGTTACTCATCAATTCTAAATTTACTAATCTTATCTAGTAAATATACCAATATCTGGTAAAACTACTATTAAGGTAGTGATTGTATGCACAGTGAATCTACTAGTTTTCATCGTGACATTAACTAGTTATTTTTTTACAGTGCTGATACACAAGTGTTTTTGTTGTGTGTTTTTTGTTTGTTTTATACCCTCCGCATAAGCACGCATAATCACAAATCAATAATTATGATATATTTCAGAGACATTTTTCGCATTCAAAAGAACATAACATAGAATTTATGGATATTCAATAAATGGCTCATGAGTGCTTTTAGAAAATGAAATACCTTTAAATCGTTCTATTTTTTTAGTTTTAAAATTCCATTTTGTTTTTCCGAAATGCAACGAAATGAAAGTAGATATTCTCAGAATTGAAATGTATATAAATTGGTGATGATATTCATATAAATAGCAGTAGCCTTTAGTTACCCATTTAGTATATAAACTTTAACAGATTATAATACACAAGGAAGAATTTAATATATGTTGTGACACAGTGACACTGTCTCCATCGACTGTGCACATCTATATCAGGATTAAAGTAACTAAAATAAAGGAAGCCTTTCTTTTTTAGAGATATGGTGCAAATGAAATACAAATAGATGTTATCCTGTATCGATTTTTTATATAAGTATACTAACTACTACGTTTACTTTAACTCTTTACAACTTACTGAATTGTTATGTAACAAACACTTAATGTTCACGTCAAAGAAATGTGAAGTTACCGTTTCCCCGCAAGCACTTTATAGCGTGGTACAAGTTTCTCTAAAATTTAGCGTAAATAATATTGTGACGTAATATTTTAATAAGAAAATAACATTTCTTATTTTATGAGATTTAAGCAAATATTAAATAGATGGAATTTGGCAATAAATTGATGATTAAATGAACTTTTTAATGTGCGTGAAAATGCGTGATTACGGGGAAACGGTATATGCGTGATTTTGCGTTAGAAATAGGAAATGGTATATGCGTTAAAATGCGTGACTGCGGGGAAGGAAAATAAATATCAGGATTTAGTTTTTTTGTTTCCCCCCCGGACAGTAAAA